ATTCAATTGAATTTGAAAGTTAGAATATTTTATCTACGAGATTTAATAGGAGTTACGTTATATTTCAATACTCATTTAGTCTTATGATTTGATTGAATATTAGTAGATGTTTTATTTTTTGTAATCTTAATTAATCATTATTACTTTGAAAATTCTTTTATTTTGTTTAATTTTTATGCTGTTTGAATTTTGAAATGGTTGTTACTACATTTTTTAATCTATAATTAATACTTATAGTCATTACCAAGGACTCAAGTTTTCCTTATGCCATTTTGCACATGTTAAAGATTAATTCATTTATAAGGATTTTAGAGAGCATACACCAAAAATATTGCAAAAGCGCAAACAACATCCTTTCAAATAAATGAAAAAGATCAACGTAATCAAATTTCATAATGATTATTTAAATTTAGCAAATTTTTTTTAAAGAAACAAACAATGAATTAATTATACTCACTTCCTTCCAAAATAAGTGTGGTTTTCACTTAACTCTTTTTTCCAAATTAAGTGTTTCTTAATTTGTCCCAACATCTTAATTTAATTAGATTAGTATTTTTCTCACATCTTCTCTCTTCCATTTTCCTCAAAAAAGAGCTCCAACCAAACCTCATTTTTGTATTTTTTATTTTTACGGTAAGTTGCAGCATTAATTTTTTTGGTTCTTCACGCCTAAAAAATTATAATAAATGTATTTTTTAAAAAAATTAATTTATAGTACATAAAAATATATGACAACTAACATTAATTAATTTTATTTAGATTGCCGTTTGCATATATTTAATTTGACAATTGATAAAATTAATAGTATTAACTTTTATCCTTTTTTTTTTTCATTTTAATTGATACTAAAAAAAGTGAATTTATTGGTGCAATTAGAAAAACTTTTTTTTGAAAAGGTTAAAAATGTGATTAATATATTTTTTAATCTTTAATTTACATGAATAAATGTAAAAATTGATTATATTAATTTTAGTATTAATGTTACTTAAATAATGTTAATTAGAATATTAATAAATTAAATATTAACTTTTACTTTTAAATATAAATTAATTATTAAAAATGTATTAATTATACTGTGAACAAATACACTAGAGAACTAAACCTTTTGGAAAATCTTATGACGGCTTTGTTTCCCTTAAATTAAAAAGTGACATAATCAATCACCATTGTGGCCAAATGACCATAACCCCTTTACCAAGAATAATAGTATTTGACCACCGACTTGTTAGTTTGATTGGAATGAACTCGATTTTTTTAAATAAGATTTTAATTTTGAGTCTTGTAAATAGAAAAATAACTATTGAGAGAGGTTTCTTTAAATAGGATTCGATGTAACTCGATTTCAAATTAATCGAGATTTAATGTAATTATTAGATATTAAAATATTGATGTCTAAAAAGAATAATAGCATCTAGAACTCTAAAGTTTCTAAGTATCAATAATCTCCATTTCCATCCTCACAATTGTACTAGTAAAAAAAAATAAAAAAAAAATAATAATAAAAAGTGACATAACTTTGACCTATCCATAAAATCATGTGTGCAGTACAAAACCCCCTGGAATTAGTACAACAGAAATTTAAGGGCAAACAGGTAATTTAATAATCTCCAACCCAACTTCTTTTAGTTGAAAAATTGCTGTCTCCACCACCATCTCCCTCGGAAAGTTCTTTATATCTATTTCGGACTTCTTCTTCTTCCGATATTACCATTTTGCTTTTGTTGTACGAACTAACAATGTCACCGGGCCTCAGGAACCTGCAACTAACCCCGGTCGCCGGCGGCAAGAAGTCGTCGTCAGCAGGTTCTTTAGAGGATGCCCATGACTTGGAGGATGTGCGGCTCTTGGATTCATATGACGAGGGGGATGATAGTTTGGTGAGAATCGAAGAGGGTACTAGGAGAATTCACGTCAGAGTCACGGGAATGACCTGTGCAGCCTGCTCTAATTCTGTAGAGGGAGCTTTGAGGAACCTTGATGGGGTCTTCACTGCATCCGTGGCTCTCTTGCAGAATATGGCTGATGTCGTTTTTGATCCCACTTTGGTTAAGGTTGGTGTCCTTGCTTTATTGTGTAGGTTTGTTTTGATTTTGTTTCTCTGCCAATTTGTGTGCTTGGTTAGAAGATTAATTTTGTTTAATTTTTCTTTTTGAGCTATGGATCAGTGTGAGTTTGCTTATTTGGTGATAGCAATTAACAGTTATTGTGATCATAAGTATGAGTTGATTGATTGTTGAAATTATAGTTCACTTGAATTCTTAGCCATAATGTATACATGGTTGCTGAGTTATTCAAGTTTTAGCTGTATGGCACCTTCTTAACTTCTTGCTTCTGATTTGATACCTAATTTTGTCAATGCTGTTGAATACTTGAATTCATTTTCGAAAGAAAGATATGTGATTTGTGGCTTTATGGACTGTATTTCATCTCGATTTATAGATGCCAATAATTAGTTTATTCTTGTCTGTAGAGTGACAATCATGATTAGCACATATGGCTAATAAATAGAAACTAGTCCAAAGGTATCGCATATTGCCATTATTGCTATAATTCATTTGATTTCTTAATCTATCTCTAAATTCTCTGAAGGAATCTCTTTCTGTTTAGCAACCTTAAATTCCTTTTAATTATCTTCTTTTTGGAAAACAAAGTAAGTCTTATGTGGCAGTACTATTTATCTAGTATAGAGGATAGAAGCTAATTGAAAAACTCCTTTTACTTTTAATTTTTCAAGGAAGGCCATGGCATGGAGTGCTTCTTCTCAGCTGTCCATGTTTTCTTAGAATTTTTTTATCTGGTGTTTGAATTCATTAGTTGTTTCATTTTCATTACTTTCAAATTTAATCAAAATTTATTTACTTTATGATAATGTGATGTTTTATGGATTGGATTTTCTTTTAACCAAGTCCTGAAATCAGGATGAGGACATAAAGAATGCAATTGAAGATGCTGGATTTGAGGCTGAGATCCTATCTGAACCTAGCACCGTTGGAACAAAGCCACATGGAACCCTAGTTGGGCAATTCACAATAGGGGGCATGACATGCGCTGCCTGTGTAAACTCAGTTGAAGGTATTTTGAGAGATCTTCCTGGTGTCAAGAGGGCAGTAGTTGCCTTGGCTACTTCATTGGGGGAAGTTGAGTATGATCCCACTGTAATTAATAAAGATGACATAGTCAATGCAATTGAAGATGCTGGTTTTGAAGCCTCACTTGTGCAGAGTAATCAGCAGGATAAGATCATACTGGGGGTTGCCGGTGCATTTAGTGAGATTGATGTACATCTTTTGGAAGGCATACTTTGGAGCTTGAAAGGAGTTAGACAATTTCGCGTTGAGATAGCATTGGAAGAACTTGAAGTTCTATTTGATCCTGAAGTTGTCAGTTCAAGATCATTGGTTGATGGAATTGAAGGCGGAAGCAATGGGAAGTTTAAACTACATGTTAAAAACCCATATACCAGAATGACTTCTAAAGATGTTGAAGAGACCTCAAAAATGTTTCAGCTTTTCACTTCCAGTTTATTTCTCACTGTGAGTATTTTTTCCTTGAGGAGAAATGGGAAGGGATTATGCATCTTCATGCATTCTGTGTCTTTGTTTCTTTTCTCCCTATTTTAATTTGGTATTTTATCGTTTTCCTGGTATTTGATATGATGCATTTGTTTCTAACTCTTCTTTTCTTTTGAGCATATCTTATGTGGATAAATAGAAAGACCTTTTGTGACTGTCTATTCAACCATAGTGACATCACTTGAAAGTGGAATATTTGCTAACCTTTTGCCTTCACACATGTTTCTTTTCAAGAAGGAAGAAATAGCATATGAGCATATTTTACTGAATGTTGCTATAGAAACATTTTAATAGTTTTCATTTGATGATTGATAATTCAGATCCCTGTCTTTCTGATTCGAGTAGTTTGTCCTCACATTCCATTGGTGGATGCCTTCTTGCTCTGGAGATGTGGACCCTTCTTATTGGGTGATTGGTTGAAGTGGGCTTTAGTAAGTATTGTTCAGTTTGTTGTTGGCAAGCGATTTTATGTTGCAGCTGGAAGAGCTCTGCGCAATGGTTCAACTAACATGGATGTTTTGGTTGCATTGAGTACTTCTGCTATTTACTTCTACTCTGTTTGTGCACTTCTCTATGGTGCTATGACTGGGTTTTGGTCTACAACATACTTTGAAACAAGTGCCATGCTGATAACATTTGTATTATTGGGAAAGTATTTGGAATGTCTTGCAAAGGGGAAGACATCTGATGCCATCAAGAAACTAGTTGAACTTGCACCAGCTACAGCAATATTGGTAGACAAAGGTATTATCTATTTTACTTCGTTTCTCCAATTTTAGATATGTGGTGTATGCCATGCACATGGCATCTCTCTTCTCATTTTCTGGTTTTCAATTAGTTATGAAAAAATATCCAATATTTAGCGAGTTTAATTTTGATGAGAATCATATTTAATGCTAAAACAGAAATATTAGATGCATGAAGAGTTCAATATGCTTAAATTTTATTGGTCTCTAGGTGGAAAGTGTATTGGAGAAAGGGAAATAGACTCTTTGTTAATTCAGCCTGGTGACACATTAAAAGTTCTTCCTGGTGCGAAGCTTCCAGCGGATGGTGTTGTTGTATGGGGATCGAGTTATGTAAATGAGAGTATGGTAACAGGGGAAGCTGCACTTGTTTTGAAGGAGGTCAATTCATCAGTTATTGGAGGTACAATAAATTTACATGGTGCCCTACACATTCAAGCTACCAAAGTAGGATCTGAGGCTGTCTTGAGCCAGATAATTAGTTTGGTAGAGGCAGCCCAGATGGCCAAAGCTCCTATTCAGAAGTTTGCGGATTTTGTAAGTTTTCTTTAGGTTTCAGTTAAACCTTTCTTGTCTTTTCAATTGGTTTTACTGAAGTCAGACATAGTTTTAGCAGTTGCATGGAAGCCAATTTTGTCGTGCTTATGGAGGATAAAAATTTGTGGCCTTTCATTGATAAAGTTTTATTCCTGCTTTATGTGTTGTTTCAAATATATTTAAGTGTTTAAGTTATAGTTTCAGAGCATTTGCATCTCTCAGGTCATAGCTTTTAGGGTGGACGAAAAACTGGGTTCTCCTGAAATATGAGACTTCTGGTCCTTGTAAGGCTATGAAATTATCTTGCTTGCATGCTCATATATTGTTCTTGATTTTTGCAATTTGTGGCTTGCAGGTTGCAAGTATATTTGTTCCAACTGTTGTCGCTATTGCATTATTGACATTATTGGGTTGGTAAGATCCAATGACTTATTTTCTTACACCCACTTTTTAAGATTTTTTTTATTGTCTTCACTCTTTTTTGGGTGCTGAAAATGTGCACTAATCATCCTGATATTGTATTTATTTGTTGATTCCTTTCAGGTATATTGCTGGAGTTGCTGGTGCCTACCCACAGGAGTGGCTACCAGAGAATGGAAATTACTTTGCTTTTGCTCTTATGTTCTCAATAGCAGTGGTGGTGATTGCATGCCCCTGTGCTCTTGGCTTGGCAACTCCAACTGCCGTTATGGTTGCAACAGGGGTTGGAGCCAATAATGGTGTGTTGATAAAAGGAGGTGATGCTTTGGAGAGAGCTCAGAAAATAAATTATGTCATATTTGATAAAACTGGCACTCTGACCCAGGGCAAAGCCAAAGTTACAACTGTAAAAGTTTTCTCAGAAATGGATCGTGGAGAGTTCCTTAGATTGATAGCTTCTGCAGAGGTGATTTCTAGTATTCGAACTAGTTTCAAACGCATTTAACACTGCAATTACTTTCTTTTATTATTCCATTTTTGGTTTTTAATTATGGTGCTACAAAATGGGGATTAGATGGTCAAAGAAACACACACTGAAAAGTATTATACATCAGAATTAGCATGGCCTGCCATGCATTGCTTTGACATGCTGTAACTTATTATATTTGGGTGCTGGACGAGCAGAGTTTTTTCTTCTTTTCCTTCTTACCATGGACTTGGACAGCGTATAGTTTTTGCTGCACTTCTTAACTTATTAAGCAATCATTAATTTTTTCCCCCTATTTCACATGGCTTAGGCTAGCAGTGAACACCCATTGGCAAAAGCAATAGTGGAATATGCTCGCCACTTTCATTTCTTCGATGAGAATTTTCTGTCCGAAGATGCCCAAAACAACAGAGAAGAATTCGTCCAGTCTGGATGGCTTCTTGATGTTGCAGGGTTTTCTGCCCTGCCAGGAAGAGGAGTCCAGTGCTTTATAGATGGAAAGCGGGTTTTGGTTAGTTCCTGGACATAAGTGTGATGTTTTCTATGTTTTCATAAATGCAGTTCACTCTAGTGGGGTTCTTCTTTATTGAAAATGCTGTTTTCTAAACAGGTTGGTAACAGGAATTTGTTGAGTGATAGTGGGGTTATGATTCCAAACGATGTGGAGAATTTTGTTGTAGAATTAGAAGAAAGTGCGAAGACAGGCATTCTTGTAGCATATGATGATAATTTGATTGGTGTTTTGGGGGTTGCAGACCCTTTAAAGAGAGAAGCAGCTGTGGTTGTAGAGGGCTTGATGAAAATGGGAGTCAGACCTGTAATGGTTACAGGTGATAATTGGAGGACAGCTCGGGCTGTTGCTAGAGAGGTTTGTGTGTGCATTTATATTTTATTTAGTGCATCTAGGTAGACATTATTACTTTAAATTGTGTACTAACTAAATTACTATATTTCTCATAGGTGGGTATTCAAGATGTGAGGGCAGAGGTGATGCCAGCAGGAAAAGCTGATGTGGTTCATTCATTTCAGAAAGATGGAAGCACTGTAGCTATGGTGGGGGATGGTATCAATGATTCTCCTGCTTTAGCTGCTGCTGATGTTGGTATGGCAATTGGGGCCGGGACTGATATTGCCATAGAAGCTGCTGATTATGTTTTAATGAGGAACAACTTAGAAGATGTAATCACAGCCATCGATCTCTCAAGGAAAACCTTTTCTCGAATACGACTGAATTACATTTTTGCCATGGCCTATAATGTGGTTGCAATTCCTGTTGCTGCTGGAGTTTTCTTCCCTGCACTAAGGGTCGAGTTGCCACCATGGGCAGCCGGTGCTTGTATGGCTCTTTCTTCTGTAAGTGTTGTGTGTTCTTCTTTGCTTCTTAGGAGATATAGAAGACCCAGACTCACCACTATACTAGAAATAACTACAGAGTAGGAAGAAGAGAAATGAAACAAATCACTTCAACTTCATGTTTCATAGGAAGGAAATTGAAGGGTGTAACTGTAAGCATATCTTGAACATTCCAACTTTTGTGTATTTCTTTATTTTACTTCCTTTTGACACAACCGTTTGGGATGAAAATGTTCCCCACCCCCATCAAGTGTAAATGCTACTTCTTGTATGATATAAAGTTGCTGCTTTCTCCTCTCTCTAGCTTTCAACAGTACTCTTTGACCCTCATTATATGAATACTTGAAAATAAGAAATCCTCTTGGTTTCCTTTCAATGGTATTATTCTTTCCAATGGGAGGAATGATGGTATGGGACTTGGAGACAGTCCAAGTTCATCCAATGTTCTAGCGACCCGTCAACGTTATACCTTTTATTTTTTTCGTTCTAAGTTTATAATTATTAATCCTCAATCTGTTCATCTTTGACCAAGATGTTTCAACTTCCCTTTGTCCTTTTCCCCCTCTTTGCCTCTCTTTCAAAGAAAATAGCATCATCCTATTCGTCAGCTTCCCATCCTGCTCCTTAGTCTACACTCAAGAACACATTTAAATTAAGTCCTTTTCACATTGAAAGGCAGAAAGAGTTAGGTGACTATAATTATGGCCTCAAATTTCAATGGATTTTGAGGTGGGGAAGGGAGTAATTCCTTCTTCAAAGTGTGCTAATCCTGATTCTTCTTCTAGATGACATCTTTGAAATCCTAACCATGAGGTAAGTGATTACACACATTTGATTAAGTTACTATTACAGCCCTTATTTTAATTTTCAAACTCTGCCAACAGATACTACCTCTAATGTGAATGTCACATCCATATCCACCCGAGGTCACATTTTTTTTTGGTAAAACCCCTGAAGTCACGTTTGGTTAGGTTATAGCCATCAAAAGCATTTTAATAATATATGGTCATGTTATAATTATGAGTCTAGAAGTTTAGTACATGTAGTACAGGTCTTGCTATTCTTTTTTTCCCCTTATTATGTCAATGCTATTTTTTATAAATAAATTAAAGAAAAGTGTCTGCTACTCCGGTGGCACCCACCGAGGGTGATGCCAATCCGGCCAATCTCAACTGGTTTCCGTTTTGCCCTTTTCCAAATAATTAACATTACCCAAAATTTAATCTGTAGAATCCTAGGCAAAAGATGCGCACATGACATGAGATCATAATATCCTAGAAAATTATAGAGAGACAATTTTTGTATCTAATTTTTTTATATAATTTTATATGTTATAATTAATTTTTTATTTTATTAGATTATTTATAATATTATATATATTTATTAATTTAAATTCTTTCTAGCATGGTTTTGATTTAAAATTTTTATTGTTTATATATTTAGTAACTAATTTTTTTTTGAACGGGTATTTAGCAACTAATGTTATATTTACATTAAATTTAAATTTAAATTTTTATACTAATAAATTTTAATTTTTAAATTTGATAATGATTAAATATATAAAAATTAAAAACTCAAAATCTCAAACTAAAATCATATTAAATGGAATCTTTATTAATAATATAGAAAAATTATATTAATAAATTATCTACATATTATTATTCTAATTTTCTAAAAAGTAAATTTAACTACATCGCTTATTATGTTACTAATTAATTTCCAATCAAATGAATCAATGAGCTTTTTATTGATTCAATTATTTTATAGTGATTGGTCAACGATCTAAATAATTCAGTAGTAATTTTTTTTATTAGAAATAAAAGATTATAAATTCGAGTTAAATGACATGCGAGTGAGATATAATAAGAAATAAGAGAAAGTTATCTTCTGTTGTGCAACCAACATTAAAACAAAAATTATTTTACAGTGGCTGAGATAGGAAGGTGGGATTCTTCCTACTCTTGATGAAGAAGAAATCTGCATGATCCTCGTTGAAGAGCCTTATTCAACCTTTCTTGCCAAACTCAGAGAGACCTGAGTAGAGACATAAATCTAACTCAACAGGCTGCATAACCATTAACTTCCTCTGCTTTTTTGTTTTTTTCAAACATATTTTTGACCAAGACCCAAAACTTAGTCTACCAACCCAAGAGTCTAAAGTAAAAGGCAGCCAGGGAGCAGTGTTTCATACGTTGCCCTCCATTAGTTGATAATAACACATGTTGTTTCCTGGAAGCATCACTCCTTTGCTCAATTCTTTCAATTCAGGGAATAGTCAAAGAGTATGCATGCTTACTTTGACCATAGAATTGTCACTATATATATACCCATTCAATTACCTTCTTCCTCCTTTTCATAATACGAAAGCACTCAAAGCAAAAGAGAGCCATGAGCACCACCAGTCCCACTACAACTACTCCCTCTGCTGAATGGATGCAGTGCTATGAACAGAGTGCTGCTTTTGAAGAGGTGGGTGCAGCTTCATTTTCGGATGCCACCATGGTCACCACAAATCTCACCTCCGATGGCAACCTCAGCCCTGGCAGTTCATCCCCGGTGAAGTCGACAAGGAGGAGGTCCAGGGCTTCTAAGAAGGCACCCACCACCCTCCTCAATGCCAACGCTAGCAATTTCCGGGCCCTGGTGCAACAGTTCACTGGTTGTCCTAGCAGAGACCTGTCACGGAGAGGCGCAATTAACTTGAATTTTGCCCAAGGGAATGACGCAAGTGCTCAAAGTCAAAGTAATGTTTCAGCTTCCACCATGGCAACGTTTGGTACTAACTATTACTTTCAACAGCCTGGACAACCACAGCCATGGCCACCGCAACAGCAACATCATATGTTTCAGAATCAACAAAATGATGTCCATATTGATGATGTTTCTACTCAAGGGTTTCGGGCAGAGCCATATCCCAATGAACACAAGAATGATGGTTACTTCTTCTAGTAGGTAGGCAGTTAACTAGATTGGGTTTTGTTTAATTTCTGTCCGAACTTATTGCATCATTCGGACCTGAATGAACTACTTCATATGTTTTATTCTATTTTTAATAAGCAATATATTTCATGTTACAAATAAGTTCATTTAATCTGAGTAAACTGAAGACATTGATCTTCATCAGCGCAATTAGGGAAAAAGGGAAAGAGAATTTTAGATTGATCAGGGAAGAGAGTGACTCGATTTATTTTATTTTTAGAATATTACCAATAGGGTGTAACAATTTAATAAGATTTGGACTTGTAAACTAGTAACAGTTAAATGAATCCCATTATCAGTGAAAATCTCATAGTAATTGATAAATATCTCAACTATGATAAATGCCAACAATACTCTCTGTGACACTATTTTGAGCCATATTTTCATATTAATTCCTTTCTAAATAATTTTAAAGGATACTCTCACTAGAGACATAGTGCATAAAAAAAAATTGAGATATAAAACAATATTTATTTATTAATAAATTTATTTTTTAAATATCTATTATCTTTATAGAATTTTGAAAAGTTTAAGTTAGTTATCCTTATAACTATATAAATAAGAAAATAATTTAAAAATAACTTTTTTATATAATTATAATATATAAAAGTTATATAAAAATGTGATAAAAAAAATTCCCTGTATATAAATAACTATCAAAATTATAAATATTATAAAGATATTTAATTTATCTAATTTTATTAATTTAAAATTAGTTAGAGTGTTGGGAGACATTAGCTTATTGGCTAATGCTTTGCTGGGTCCAGTGACTCTAGTCATGTCGAGCTAACCCAACGTGGCTGACCAGACCAGCCCACGAAACACTCCGCCATGAAGTTGTCACTCGGCAGTAGTGATTCTATTGTCTTGGTCCTCGTCTCTTTTTCGTAAGACTAAGACCCCTGGATTTTTGGCTTTCGCGTCGCAATTATTCCCGGAAATGAAATATGAACTCCATTATTCGATTTCTGGAAGAATTGCAGCTTCACAATTGGGAGATAAAAAATGGGTCACATCGCATTCGTACTCCTCTTCTACCACCACTAAGCAAAGGACCAAATACGTTCGGGTCAAAGTCTACACCGTCCAAGCCGCCGCCTAAGCCACTGCCACAGCCACCGACTCCGTTTTGGTATCCACTACTCATTTTCTTTTTTCTTTTCATTTTCGTTTGAAAGAGTGGATCTTGGGTGTGCACACTTGTTTTATATCTCGGAATGCACGCCATATTGCAAAACCGGGACTATAAGGTGGGGGAGGACCGCCTCTACATTCAGGGGCTCGCCCAATCTCATGATTATTTTTAGTTTATTGAATCTTCCACATACTCCTATACTGTTTTCTTGAACCGTTATATTTTGTTTTGTTTATTGTCTGTGTCTTATTTCTTGCCAAGTTATGTATGAATCTATATCAGAATGCCAATAATATTTAAGGTGATTTGGCTCGTGTGACTGCTTTCCATCTTAAAGAAAATGATCTTGTATGCATAGATGGTCAAGAGACTTCAGATCCACCTCCTCTTGATGCAACTCATAGTAGCCAGTGTGTAAGGTAAATTGCCAGACATATGGCAGCTGAGATTGATTAATATTTGAATGATTGAGTCCTAGTGAACCTATTGATAAATTAAAAGTGGATCAAGTGTAAAATGGTGTTTATGCATACAGCAAGAGAGGAACTAAATGACAGCAAATTGAAGAAACAAAAGTATAGTGATTGGAAACTGAAATGACTTTTATTGCTGAATATTGAAAGCAGAACAACTATAACAAGAAAATATGATGAAAAGATGAGAATTTGACACACAGTACAACTGGTCATTCTCCTTATTTATAGACAACAAAATAACAGAAGTTTGTTGTAACTCTCTACTAAAAACGTGGCTTCATATCAGATAAAAAATCTGGTATGCTCAGCAACTCCACTTTATTAGGACTCCACTAACAGTCTTATTTGACTTGGTCTTCAGCAATCTCCCACTTGAAGACACGTTTCTTGAAACAAAATAAACAGAAAAATGAAAAAGGAATCAAACTTCTTCAAGTCCAATTGAAGACTTGCACCAATTGAACTTGTCACGGGCCATTGGTTTTGTTAACATATCTGCTGGATTTGAACTTGTGTGAACCTTGTGCAGAAGTATCTTCCCATCTTCAACTAATTGTCGAACAAAATGATAGC